TTGACTGAGATGGTTAAAGAACAATGCTTACTTTTGGGTGTATTTTGATTGCAACAAGGCGAGAGGGACATCTGTCAGGAACTTCCAACACAATTAAGGCTTGGGGGTCAGGTCAGTGGGATTGTTATTGTTTGAGTAGGCAAAATACATTTCTATTCTTCTGATACAGCTGCATTCAAATGATAAGCTGTCTTGGAAGCATGATGGAGTCTGGATGGACCTCTCTTGTTAAGTGGGGGAGTTGGGGCATTAAATGAACAACCTCTTTTTCTCTCAGGATGTATATTTTGATTATGCTGCAGGTTCACACTAATACTAAACTAGTGGAGGGATACACTGGGTCACAGTTTGTTGAGGTGGAGTTTATTGCATGTCAGTAGGGTATAAATGAGGGGATGGGTAGGCCAGAGTGTGAAACACAAAGCTACAGATGATTTGATTTGAACGTGAGTATGCTGAGGCAAGATAATAAGTGGGTCCAAGAGCTTTTATTCATATTATTTCCAGTTGGCTGGCCAACAAGGCAGAACACTTATACTTGAAACTGCAGTGCACTTGAGGCAGGGCTGCTTTGTCCCAGATGAAACTGATACTTTTGACGAGGGGATAATCGTACACATGTGGGTGTTTAACTGATGTTGAGGCTGGATGAGCTGCTGGCAGACAGTTAACCTGAATTTTTGTGCGATGGTATGGGTTGTCACCAAAACGTACGCGCGTACGTTTTGGTGACAAGGACTGGTTGAATGCCAAAGTGGGGAAGGTGTGGAGTTTATGTGGCCCCTCCCATGAAGCTTTTTGATTAGAATAGTTGCGGCAGGAGAGAGGCCGGTATGTGTGGGGAAGGGCAGAGGGTATTTTTGGGTGGTGTGAGCACTGCCTTTGTGTGTGGTCTCCCAAATAGGGGCTACGTAACCCCAGGCCTGCAGAATTGGGTAATATGACCGTGGAGTCCTTTCAGGAACTAAACAGATCATTGTTTGGTTTTATTAATGGCCCGTACTTCCCCCATGCCCAAACACACATGCACCAAGTACCAAACAGCAGCCTTTGTTTCTCCAATAGCGTATTTACTTTCTTCCTTCTCACTTCATCCCTTTCAATTCTTAAGACCTTATTGATTGCAGAGATAGACTGCCGTTCACTGTGTTTGTATATTTGGGTGGGTGGTGGAACAAATGAGTGTAGCTCTCATCCCTTTCATGAAAGTTTGAACCTGCAAATGCAGCGGTGTAGGCTCTGGGACCACAGTGGTACCTTTGGATGCTGCCTCAAGGTCCTCCTTCCTTTAGGAACTTAAAAGGTGTGTGTGGAATGATGATCAATCCCCCCTCACTCCCATCTACATCTCGGCCAGCACTACATTTAAACTTTTCCCTGGATTCCTGATTAGATTTGGTATTTAATTAACATCATCTCAATGTTTGAGATATCCGGAAACATCCACCTTTCTCTAGCTGACATGTCCTCAATCTGTGGCGCGTCAGATAATACTATACATATAACCAGCGTGATTAGCTCCCCAGAAATTGTGCATCACAGTCAATATTCCGAACTCTCAAAATTTTACATTATACTACAGTCAAATAGCTCAGAGCCCCCTCCTTTCATACATGAGCCAGAAACGGAGATTTTTTTCACCGGTCACCTTATTGCTAGTTTGTTTGGTAGTTACCCTGTGATTAAGGTTGGAGCGGGAAAGTGGGTGTTCCACCGGGGACAACACTATGAGCTGGTGGAGGAATTCAGTAAGGCGCGAGTCTGGGGATCTGGATATGTGACTCAAGTCAAACACAATCGGAGTGCTCCCCGACGAAGCTATTTGACTGTTTTGGACCCTACACCAACATCGGTAAGTATTCTAGTAAAGTAATATGGCATTGATTCATTTTCTTGTTTAACTGAGCTAGACGTACTGTGGCTTGATTGCAGGGGGCCTGCATCCGACTTCTTGCCTGGGACTCGGAGATTTTGGGTCAAATGAGTCGGATTAAACGTGGGAACTGGATCAAGTTTAGTGGGAAAGCTGGGATCGACGCGTATAAGGACTCCCACATTGCGGAAACAACCGTAAGTAATCCTCTGCAACTACATTTCACTCTTGTAGTGCCTTATGAAACTTAACGGCTGTGGTGTGGGAAGTTATATGGCCTGGAACTCTTAGGACGGTCAGAATCAACCCGATATTTCCTCAGGACTAATCCCAAAACAATTCGAGAGTTATCCGTGGACGACTGGGCCCCGGAGAAGTTAGCAAAAAATAAGGGAAGAAAAAAGAGATCATTCTATTCAACCGCGAGGAGATTCAGATAAACACTCCAGCCAATTCTATTATCTTTCTGTATTTGTTGGTATACGTCCAATATGAGTTTGCCCTGAAAGTAGTATCACTTCTGGTTCTTCAACCGCAAGATTAGCTTAGTTTCTTTGATAACTGTCAACCAAAAAAATTCCAGTCCTTGGGAGGGGCCTCACTTTTGTCATACTTTTTCTTATTTAAAAAATCCCCACTTGTGTATTCTCAGTGATGCTCGTCAATGAATCAACTGTAAGACTCTCGCGGTCCAAAGTTTTCATACTCTTTCAGTAAAAAGGGCAGTGCATGGAGGCTAGCCACTGTGTTGCATGCAATGAGACTCAGGAGGTGTATGCTTTGTTTCACGAGCTTGCTTGTCACGTGTGTGGAAAACCTGAGCAATACCTTGGCAGACGTGAAGGCAAATGGAGGCTGTGAACTGCAGGAAACTAATAAATACCCTTCAATTGCTCTTTGGCAAACAAAGTGGAAGCTTGCTTCCACTTTCCCTGGCAGACATTTTCTCACCCACTCAGTGTGTGAGGCAAATTATCTAGAGGCTGATGTGCTGGTCAGCCAACATCACGGAGTCTTTACGGACTTCTAAAAAAGACTTATCCAGTTATCCAACATGAGCATGTGGTGAAATAACAATAAATGCAAGGAGACCCAAGATGCCTGGGTCCCTGCAGCTGCACTTCATATGATGTTAGGAGGGGGTTGGGACTTCTGGCAGCCCACAGGGATTTATTATTTATTTCTGGAATACTGATGACAGGATTTAATGTGTGGTATTCAGTTTCTGACAATATCATATGTAACTACCCGCAGGCTGTGGTCAGGGGTAACAATGATCTGTCCTTTAAAAAGTGGAGCTTTTGCACTGGAGGCATGATTCAGGCAATTTTGGAATGAGCCTACCAAGCATCATCCGCTGTGTTTGAAGATGAATGGCTACCTGTAGACAAGATACCTGACTCAGATAAACTCCTCAGACAATACAGAGTAGACAAGAGAAAATGATTTGAGGATCATTTCCTTTTTAGGGGGAGGAAGTGTCAGCCACAGAGCACATTTCACAGTACGTGAAATGTACCTAGTAACTGCAATAATAATAATTAATTGAATACTGGAAAATAGTATACATTGTTGTTAGAATAATAAATAAATAAATATGTATTTACATTTAATCTTAATTCATAATTTATATTTAATAATTCTATAATTAACTGTGAAATCCCCTTGAGTATTGTACATATAATATCACTAGGATTTCACAGAAATATCATTAGAATAAAGTATTAAAACAATGTTTATTCTTATACATTATGTACATATTTTATAAGCCATAAATAATTACATATGTATAAAGAATCAGCTAGTAGAAGCGTGAAATGGATGAGGAATAAGCTATATACATTTATCTGAAGCTTACCCATCCTTGATCACATCATCAGGGCATCAGATTTCATCATAACCCTCTTGGATGGCGTCATCAGGACCCTTTTGTGCTCTAATTCAAAGCTTGCATAATTCAAAGCAGCCTACACGGGAAAGGAGCCCAAATTCTACATGCAAGACTGAATTATGCATGAAGGACATGCATTTCTCATGATCACAAGCTTGCATAAGCAGAGTTACACGTATGCAAACAACTCTACAATTGCACAGCCCCTGCACAGTAAATGTAGCCCTTTAAATTACGTGAGAAATAGGCCACAAAACTCAATTATGCATGTATGATCTCATGTCCTAGGACCTTCCACCCATGCATAGCACTGCACAGCTACAGCTCCCATCCTTACACGAAACTGTAGAGCTGCTAAGAAGCTCCCTAGTGCCCTGAGGGCCTCTCCTCTTCCCCTGAGCCCCCTGTAGAATATTTAAGGAGCTCAGATTCCTACCTTTTCCCCCCAGGAAATTCTAGTAGCATCAAACCAACACTTGTACCGTGTTTATTAGTGATTCAAACCACCAATAACCTTACAAACCAGCTACCTTAGACCTAAATAGATTTACTTTGCTCAGATTCAAGGCATATCTACTTATCTCTATTGCATAAAGAATTATCCCCCAGGTTAAACAATTCTGGTCCTTAAGTGTTGATGACAGGATTTAATGTGTGGTATTGAGTTTCTGACAATATCATATGTAACTACCCGCAGGCTGTGGTCAGGGGTAACAATGAATTGTCCTTTAAAAAGTGGAGCTTTTGCACTGGAGGCATGATTCAGGCAATTTTGGAATGAGCCTACCAAGCATCATCCGCTGTGTTTGACTTTCAACAGATGGCATATGGTATATTGCATATCAGGTCAACTTGAGAGGAAAGCCGGTGGGCCACACATTGGGAGAAGGAGGTCAGCAAAAGGCCAGGTGGCATGTGGGGAGTAGAACCAACAAAATGGATGTATTTATGTACCTCTATTTTTTCTGAAGATACTCTGTTATTTCATGGCTTAAGAATAATTTTGAACAACGGAATTCATCCTCCATACAACTTTTTACCATTGGCAGCAAAGATTCTGACAAGCCAGTACTGTAAGAAACAATAATTATAGGGAGATATAAAAAAGCAGAAAGAAGAGAAGGAAAGAAACTTGTTGACTTGGAGACGTGAGGGGGATGAGAAATGAGAAGCAGATACAATATTGGAGTTGGGATATGACAACGGGTTTGGTTGATTGAGGGGGGAGGGGTCAGCTTATTTCTCAGTGATTTGGTGGGGAGCCTGAGGGATCATAAAAGGAGAGGTAGGTTGTTTAGCCTTCCAATGGGTGAGGAAATCAATCGTGATGGCCTGGGCCAACTCCTGTGGATCCGGTTTTTTTTTAATCGATGCAATCTGCCCAGGTGACTGGAACGCTGGCTGGAAGATTTGAAAGAGATACGCTGACAGATTTTTCCAGATTGGTTCATCCGGTGTTCGAATGACTTTTGAGTGCTGAGTGATCACAGCCATTGCCTGAATGAATGACATACATTCTGATACCGGCGAGGTACGGTGATTCCTGGAAGAAATAAAAAGACCACGGACGCCGGCAACTAGGAAGTAGACAAGGGGCTGGAAGTTATGCCTCGACTGGTATGACTTGAGTTGCTGAGTGTGGGCTTTGGTTTGGGTGACCGTGTCTCCAGGAGTCGTTTGGGCTACAGCAGAGTTGGGTGCAGAAGTTTTGACTGAGGCTTTCTTGGCGCAAGATTGTTGCTTAATCTGGCTGTTCTTCAATGGACGGCCGTTGAGAGCGTGGATTTGAAAAATGACGTAGCCCATGTAAACCTCAATAATGAGCTTAGCAAATTCTTTGAGAACATCTGTTGCGTGAGAGCGTAGGACAACCTCGCCTTCAGGTGCAGAGGAGGAATTGGTGGAAGGGGCAGTGGCAGGAGTTGTGGCTTAGGAAGAGGCAGCAGGAGGGGCCACGGAGGTTGATTGGGTATCCTCAGTTGTGTCAAAGGTGGAGAGGGATTTCTTGAGTTGGTCGAGCCATTTCAGAACCTGAAGACCTTGTTCAAGGGGGCTGTTGTTGGAATCAGGAGTGGGAGGCGGTGGGTTGTAGAGTTTGAATGCCATAACCTCAACAGAGGCTGCAATAATTTTGGCCCACTCAGAGATGACAGTGGGGGTAGGACTTTGGAGACGGTGGAGGAATCGGGTGATCGTCGACTCGGGATGTTTAGTTTTCACAGTGGGAGATATAAAGGGCTCGGTGGAGTGGTTTTTCTCCCTTTCGGCAAATACAGAGATCAGTCCAAAATCGACGACATCCGGGCAGTTCCATTGGTCATTCAGGGATGGAGATAAGAAATCGTTGGCTGAAAAAAAAAAAATAAGTTTGATATAATTGGATCAAAGACAAAAAATTGGACTTGACGAACCAAGAGAGCTGATGGTTTTGAGCCAAGACGTATACGAGCAAGTAGTTCTTGCAAAGTGGAAGTCGGGGTTGTTTGGGGATGCGCTCTGAAGAGATTCGGCTCGAAAATTTGCAAGCTGTGTGAGTGCGTCCCACGTGGATGTATACCTCTGCCAGTTGGGTTTCACGCCTTCAACTTCCTGAGAAATCTTGATCACCGCAATCCGTGCGTCGGCAGATTTGAGGACAGTGAGGTTACTCGGGAAGGAAGCCTCTCCTTGGGGACCACTGGTTGAGGGGTTTGTTGGGAGGGTAGGTGCAGACCCCGGCGCAAGAGGATCAGCAGGTGCAGGAGTGGGGGTTTTGGTTTGCCCGGTGGAGTCTTTGGGGGGTTGTGTGTCTTGGGGCGCAGGAGGGACATCTGAAGGGACCGCTAGGGACAGAGATACATATTGGAAATTTTCAGTCAGCAAGGCTTCAAAACCGTGCACCAAAATACAAAAAGAGGTAGGAGGAAGAGCATGATCTTACCGTTTCCATCAGTTGAGCTGAGATCGGCACCTTGTTGAGTCCCTGGTAACAACTCAGTGGGACCCGTGGGCTTGAACACTTCATCAGGAGATATGGTTTGTGAGTCTTTGTCGAAGGTGGTGTTGCCACTCGTCGCAGCAGGAGTGGAAGAGGAAGTCTGAGGGGGGAGAGTGGGAGCCGCAGGTAAAGGGGGGTGGAGTGTTGTGTTTCCAACAGGGGATGGCAAGTCAGTATTCCCAGTGACGGTTGCTGGGGATTTAGGCCCAGTAGGTGCCGCAGGATCGTCTGTATTGCTGAGGAGAGAGGCTGGGTTGACGGTATGGGACTTTTTGGCTTGCTTTCTTGGTCTTTTGGTGGATGTGGACGCCAGAGTGGTGTTTGGGGAGGATTGACGGGATGGATGTCCTTGGTTGATCCTGATTCCCTCATCTTCTGGGATTGCTCCTGTCTGCTCAAAGGCTGGGTTGAAGGAGAGAAGTCAGCATTTAGTAGGGTGGGATAAGATAAGGAGGGCAGGAGTACGTACTGGATTTGGAATACTCAATTTGATGGGCACATTCTTTCATCTTGCGCTTAAGGCTTCTGGGGAGTCTGAGGTTCATTAAGTCGAGCATGGCTGTTTCAGCGGTGTGGATGTTCCGATCAAACTCTTCTGCTGTAATCTGCTGGATTTCGCTGTCAAGGACTGGTTGATCGGGGTTGAGGGACCGAGGCGGGCTGGTACTCTTCATTGACATTGGAAACTCTTCAAAAGTAGCTGGCCTCAAGGGCTGACCAGGGAATTTTTGCTGAAGAACCTGTTGAGCTGTGAGAAGGAACGGGTGAGTGGAGGATACGACTGGGAAGGATGGACAGGAGGGAAAATTTACTTGGAGGTGGTGTAGGTGCGTTCTCTGAAGCAACCCCTGGTAGAGCTGGTACGGAGTCTGGTTGAAGAGTGTTTGCCGTATCAGAATCCATTGGTTTATAGGTTGGGTTGGTGGGTGAGTGTTGTGGACTGGGAAATTGGAGGGAGTGGATAAGATGGATGTGATTGAGGATTTTGAGGGGAGGGGGGAACTGGGAGGAGAAGCAGGAAGGGCTGCTGCTTTTATGTTGTGGGGAAGTGCTGGGGCGGTTTTGACAAGGGGGTGGGTATGTCCAACCATATTCTATTCGCAGCTGGGATCCGCAGTGTAAACACGTATGAGAAAGGATTTGCTTGGTTGCTGCGCAAGCTTAAAGACAAAGGAACACATAATCAATTTTCTGGATTTTACCGTACAAGCAATGCAGCTGATGTCAGGATTACACATCCTTTGGCTTAGCTGAAAGGTTATCAGGAACACAGTTTACCATTGTGATGATGTAAGAAAAGCGGACCTTTTTCCACCGGAACTATATCATGCAGCATGCCCTTTCTCACATTTCTGGGTTTCTGAATCCCACTTCCTTCTCTCATTGAAACAAGGATACCGCAACTGGGGCCCATATATGGATTAAGGCTGGCATAACTCAGCAAAATCAAGGAGTTGTGCTGCACTTCATCTCCTTGTGAGTTTACATTGGGCTTGCATTTGTGGTAAGTTGGGCCACTGGGCCCTCATATGCCTGGAAGGGACACCACTGACTTTCTGGCTGGCCGGGTTGAGTTGTGTCACCAAAACGTACGCGCGTACGTTTTGATGACATTCCCAGGGGGGAGCCCCATAAAGATGTCACCACAACCTTCATTCCCCTTTGCGCAAGCCATACCACAGGTTTCTCAGAGAAGATAAGTCAAAAACACTCAGGCACAAGACAACCACACGGCCCAAGAGATGGCTTTGTAGAATCAAATGTTTCATCTTCATACAACCAAGCCAGAAAGCACAACTTTCCCCAACACCCCTACTCTTCACATCAATCTATGTTCATCAAACCACTCGGCCCAGCCACACCCCCCACTTCGCCACCATCGTGACCGTCACCGAGCTGGCCCCGCTTTTGACCACGGCTTGTTACTCCTTGGTCCGGTTGACCACTCGAACGGCTGCTAGTGCCCCGACGGCACATTTCGGCCAAGGTTTCCGCAAGCTGTTGAATGTTGACTGCCGGTACTTTTGAGATAGTGTCACACTCAAATTGGCTGAGCCCTTTCCAAAATGTTTCATCGTAGCAATCAATTGGCCAGTCGCGCGCAACCCCAATAGCTCCTCCTACAGTTGGTGCGTGGTTGCTTGCCGAACGCGCATACATCTTCTTGTTCGTCTCGATTTTCTTGTGATGGGTGGTCTGCGCCTGGACCATTCGATCGAGATTATGGAGTATATTGGTGAGATGAATACTACGGTACCCAGGAAATACCCGGACAGGATTAACTCCCTCCTGTGCGTCTTCAATATCAGAATGACAGTCCTTATCCTCGAGTACAACAGCTAATTGTGGAATTCCTTTGAAGATCTGATCCGCCACCCTACATCTCTCTTCCTTGATCTGTTAAAGTGAGGAAAAAGTCATCAGGTTTTGTCACGGGTGAACAAGAGATGATCAAACCAGGAGAAGGGTAACTAACTTTTTTGCGCCATCTCATGTATAGAGCCTTTGTTGATTTTTTCGATTTGATCTTGTTGTACTCGGTTATATCCATTTCTCCGTACTGTTGAATCTCTCGAGATTTAGTTTGGAGCCAGCGCTTGATGATTGCAGCCGCTTGTGCTTCCTCCTCTTCACTTATCTTCATAGTTCGTCTCAGCCATTCCACCGATTTCTTTCCCATCACTTCAATCACCACCGAGTTCCAAGCAGAATCCTCATCACGCGGAACGTTCCAATCAAACGTGAATCGGGAGATCCCTGCCAAGGCTAGAGCACGTTCAACATCCCCCTTGGTTTGGAGACTGATGGGCCTTCCTCCTCCAAGATCACCTTTCCTCGGAGCCGGGTGGAATGCCGGAAGCACGATCTTCTTACGTATTTCCTTCTCCGCCTGTGCCAGGTAGAAATCTTGCTCCGCAGGCGATTTGGCAGAGAGGCTGGTACGCAACCTCTCCAGTTGCTCGAGTATTATTTTTGAACGCTTGTCCACCCAGTATAGACCCCCCTTTTCGTCCGGTGTTGGTGATGCTGGATAGTCTTGAGGAACAGTAGGGCCTCCGAGGAAGAACTTCAGAAAATGTTGGATGCCACGAGAATACGCGTCGCAGTGCTCATTGATGGTTGCCTTGTTTGCAATCTTTCGAACCCGGCGCTCCTCCCGTAATCGTGTCTCCCGTTCCTCCACATTAGCTCTTTCCCCGCGGGCATGGTCAACAACAAAATCAGCCTCCAATCGGCTCCGGTCAGTTACGCCTCCTAGGTTCAATACTCCAGATGACTGTGAACCTGCAAGGGGGAAACCCAACTGAAAATTAGTTTTTAGTGCATGTTAACCGGTAATTCAAGAGTCATAACTCACCACCCTGGGTAGTATCACCAGCAGTTGTACTACGGTTTGCTTCGTTCGTAATATTGGCCTGGACACCGTCTACAACATCAGAAATCCAGTTATGTTCGCTATCTACAGCTCCTCCTTCAGGTGGTCCAGTCTGACCTCCCTCTTGATCACCGCTCTGATCACCACCTGGATTGTCTCCGGAAGGATTGTCATCAGGAATATCTGGATTCATTTCTGAGGTATCAGGTATAGCTTAAGAAAATTGTAGTTATTTCGAAAAGTCTGTTGAATGGAGCTCAGGGATAATAGTGTATCTTGAAGACCGGGAGGGATCAAATTGGAGGGGGGACATGGGCTTGTGTTAACAGCAACTTAAGCTCACGATATACACAAAAATGCTGTGCCTTGAGGATCACAGTCAGAAGAAATACAAGTCACTAAATCCGCCTAAATCAAAGGGAAATACCCTCATGCCCACCCCTTTCACAAGAAAACTTGGAAATTTTGCACAAACAACAAGAAGCTAGATACCCATTGATATTACGTATCAAGCCCTTCCCATCCCTAGATAATCAATACGTCAGTAAATTGCTCCAAAACGTATCACAAGGGCATAACTTACCAGTGTACCCAATCCAACAGCCGTCACTGTTTTGAATCCAATCCCAAAGGTTCCTTCAGGGTTCTTAAGAACAGCTACATGCCCAATAATTTTTGTGTGCTCAACAATAATTGGAACTTCAAATTCGTCTCGAACCAACCGGCAATTCAGGTCCGGATATTCGTTGTAAGGATCGTCACTCTTGTCCAGCTCTTTGAAAGGATTAACGATAACCCACGTCTTCCCAGGAGTTTGTATTGAACCAAATATTTCCTTGATGGTGCCAAACCTTTGGTTGACACCAAACAAAAACTCAACATAAGAATTTCCAAGATGGTGATTTGCTGTGCTAAAGTTCTTCCCCTCAATTTTAATCATCTTCCTTGTTGATACTGCGGCATTAAGCTCCATGCAATTTCCACCGAGCTTTCCCCTGGATGACTCTTTCCCTGCAATAGCCCGCTTCCACTTTTTCATCATTTGCTCATCGAGATTCAGATTGGTCTTCTCCTCCTCCTGGTCCGATGTGCCCACCAACTGGCCTTTATTCCTTTCCACCCCGCGGATAAGGAATTGAAGGGTGGAGTTGACATGCCAATTCTTCAATAGTGTTTTTGGTATCTCGGCTAATAACAAGACATATATCTTTTCAGCTGTATGTCATGTGATAAGGAGTGAAATAAAAACAAACTGACATGGGTGGTGATTCGTGGGCAATCTCTGCAGCATCCCATTGACACGTTCTTGAGCCCATGCTGCTGTTGATCTAGGTGGACCTAAACTCCGTATGACATTAGAATAGTGCTGTGTCAGATGCAGGTTAGGCTTGCTTGATTGCTGCGGCCAGCCTTGCTGGAGACATTTTCTGTATTGGACTATCAAGTCATCAAGTTCTGGTAGATCTCTTGGGTTGATCTTCGGTGAGGTGAGGAAATGGGAAATCCTAGAGAGTAGAGTTGTTGATTCTAGCAATGTTGAAACACGTTCCTTTTCTTCTTCTGTAGCACACTCCGCATAAGCCTTCTTCCAAATAGGAATTAGTGCAATTGTGTAGTAAACTTTGTAGAGGATCAGCCACTCAGCAGCCTTGAGTGAGCCATGACTTTTGGACCCCAAATTGTAGGGAACTCGGTCAACCCACGAAGGGACTGTCGTGTGAATGAGTGTTCTCCTAACCACCTCAAGCTCGTCAGCCCTCAATCGATGTGAGATTCCACCCTCCTTTCCCAGTGGCGTCAGTGACCTGTCTCGCTTTGGTCCCCTTTCGGTACAATCACTGTTGCGGTCGTCTTCTGAGTGTTCAGTATCTGCACTTTCATTGCATATGTTGTAAATTGCCTGTTTTCGAGCTCGTAAATTATAAGAGTGGCTTGTTTGCGTGGTCTCAGAGCTTTGGTTGGAGGAGTCTTCAGACTCAGATCCAGGATTGGGTTGATGTTTGGATTGTCTCCCTTGGAGGGAAGGACCTGGTTGAGTATTACGGCCTCTCTTGGCTGGCTTGAGTGATGTAGGTTCGTCGTTTGGTTCTTCAGTGCGCTTCCGCTTCCCAGGATTCTTCTTTGGTTTAGCTGGAAAGAGATTGGTGAATGGAAGTGCCGTAAAGTGTTCATCCATCTGCCACTCTTCCTCCTTTTCCTGAGTTGCCTGGAGTTGTTTTGCTGCTGAGGGGAGGTAAAGGAACCGGAGGCTGTGATCCTTCAAGTCGCCAAGAATTAATGCATGCATCAGCTCAATTGAGCAATGATCCACCGGCCGCCAGTACGGGAGCTCATTCAGAACGCTCCATCTTGCGCCGTATTTCTTCATAAAGCTCTGCCGGCCCTTGTAGCTATCAAGTGCCAACCACTCTTTTGCATGCAGTAGATGTTGCTCGTTGGATCGCACCGGGAACTTTGTTTGATCCGTTTCTTCCAAGTCCTTCTTATCCAAAAGGCAAAAGGAGCAGAACAAGGTTGCTGCATGACTTCCAAATCCAGCTGCTTTGCGGAGTGCGGGAAGGTCAGCAATCAGGGGGAAGACTACAGCGCGGATAACCCTCCCTTGAGGATGTGATGCAGTGGATTGGAATTGAACACCCTTCCAAAAAGCCTTCAGCTCGGTGACTAAGGGTCGCAATAGGTGGTTCACTTGTTCAAGACTAGGCTCTTTAGGGCCTGGGATAACCCCAAAGAGGAATATATTTTCAACCTTGTAGCGTTGACCAGGCGGGAGATTTAAGCAGATCAGAGTAATGGCCCCGACAGAATTGTGCGAACCAAGGCTTGATGATCCCTCTGCATTGAACCAGTCAAGATACAGGCTGAATACCAGGTTTCCAGACGTCTTGGTGTAGATCCCATTACCCCCTTCTGTTTCAGGAAACTCCTGCCACACCTTTCCGTCCCACACATCCTCCATCACCTGATCCGAACCTCGAAAATTGGCCGACAGGCTGGCATCTAGTTGTGTCTCAAAGTGTGATTCCAAAAGTCGAGCCTTGAGCCAAGTTTCAAGTTTCATATAACTGAATGTACGTAATGGCTTCAGTTTATTCTTTTGATTTGGTGCCAGCAAGTCTTGGCTACATTCTGGCTTGACCGCCTGCTCTTTTGCCCATTTGCAAAAGGTCTGATAGGATGATAGGAAGGCCTGGTTGCATTTTTTTGGGCACGGGTTTTCCTTGTCGTCTAGTGGGTACAGGGCAAAACACTTCCTGCAGCAGGCTTGTGTAGTCAGATCAGGGTTGAGTCCAAGACGGTTAAAGACTGCTTCACGGGTGTGAGGTATCTGAGCTACCATTCTTGACACATCAGGGGTCTTATCTTTAGTACTCCAGATTTTCGAGAGCAATATAGCGTTTTCACGAGCTGCTTGTAGAAAATCGGATGCGCCTGACTTGCTGAGCCGATTTTTTAGTACCGACTGCGCCATCTGCACCATAACTTGTTTGCAGAAATCTTCCTCCAGGAACAGAGGCTGGACACTGCGTTCGGACTGCTGACACGGCAACACAGTAGAGCCAGATGGCGCCCCCTGTGTGTGATTCATAAAAAATTGTAACATCTGATGATCAGCATCACCCCTCATGTAGATATGGGATTACAACAGCTTACTCCAGATGAGGCGTCAACTCCAAGCTGCTGCAAAGGGAATGTTGCTGCCACCTTTGATTGTAACTGTTCTTCTGTACTTTGGTGAGCTCGATACACACCCCTTGAAAGTACCCTCCCTGGAACCACCCCAATACCTTTGTTAAATTCACAGACCTGTCACAGGCTCTACACTCTCGGATCAATTCCCATTCTCCATTTTCTTAATCTTCCTTTCTTCCTCATCTCATTCATTAACCCTCACAACCTCATTCACCTCAATCTCTATTACACAAACACATCACCTCCTTCAACCTATCAATCTCAATCTTACTTCCTTCTCATTCTTATCCCTGATCTCTCCTTCTTCTGCCTGGTGAGATTTGACTGTTCTCATTCTCTCTTCTCTCAACTTCTCTTCACTGACAAACTCTTCTTCAGTCTTCAACTCTTGTTCTTCCTCTTCCAACTCTCTCTCCATCAAGTTCATTCTCACAAGTTCTTCTGTCTCAATGTTGGTTCTATTTCAACTATTTCTTTCTTTCTTCTTCTCTTTTCCTCCTATTGTCTTTCTTTCTCATTGACATCTTTTCTTCTAGTGTGTCGGCTCTTTTATGCAATAAATCACAGATTCAGTTTCTTTTACGGTTAAAAGCCTACGACCGATCAACGCATGTCAAGTGGAGCCGACGCAGGAGCGCAAGGAACATCGACTGAGGGGAATCCATCGACACGATCGTCAAACTCGTCAACGATGGCGACAGTCTCAAACAACGATGGTTTTCGTCAGGCGATGCTAAAAACCGCGCTGGAGACGATCCCTCAACTGACGGAGGAAAACTATTCAATATGGAAGGACAAGATGACAGCTTTGCTCGAGCTGCGAGGGGTACTTGTTCTACTCGACAAAGACGACGACACAGCTCTAGCAAACGACGTCAACGCGGAGCTTAAACTGCTCCTTATATCAAAAATGGACAGTGTCACTCACAACAACATCGTGACGGCAGATAATCGCGGATCAGCTAAGTCGCTCTGGAAAGCGATCAAAGATCGATTCGCCTCCTCTCAATCGTCGAACAGGGCTCGAATCTTCAACGAATTCCTGTATGTCAAGTTCAAGGAAGATGCTATCGAAGCGTTTGTGACCGATACCAAGGTCTCAATCAAGAAGCTTGTCGATGTAGGGATAGATCTCCCACAAGATATTCTCGCCTACCTCATCTTATTCAAATTCCCGGATACTTTACAACTCCTCAAACGCCAAATCATGCATTCGGACAAAGATCTAACGGTCGAATTCGTCTGCAATCACCTCACTCAGTTCAATAACGAGAATAAAGCTGAAGTCAAGGAAACCTCATCTTCATCGCAAGCGGCATTGGTTTTGACGAAAAACAAACGAACACCGCGATCAAACGGGAGCGAAAGGAATCCTAATGACTCTACTAATCCATCGGGAAATACTCCCGGTCCGAAGCGATGCACAACTGGATTTCACAACCCAAAACAAGATTCAAATCACTCAGCAGACTCCTGCTGGCACTTGCATCCAGAAAAGGC